TTCAAATCTTAAGTTTAAACCCAATATTCAATATTATCAATCTTAATCTAAAAAAAGTTAAAATCTTAAATTTTATTTCTAAACACAATTTGTAATTTCCCAAACTCTTTAGTTTTATAACTTTAACTTTATAACTAAGACCTAAACTCCAAACCTTATTCCCCAAACCCCAAACCCCAAATATACGTCAAAACCCTATGTATTATATCATAAATTATAAATCTGCACACATAAATTGCAAGTATAATTTTTCAAATTTTATTCTCAAATTTAACCTTAAATTAAACATAAACTCTATATATAATTTTAAACAATGATATTATGAACATTTATTTTAAATCTAATTCTTAAATTTAAAATTATCTGGTTTTTAATTTTGAAATTTAAAAACTTAAACTCTAAACCCTATTTCATAAACTCTATTTTCTAAAACCTGAATACTAATCACAAACTTTAACTTTTAAAATTTAAATCTAAATTTGTAAATCGTGAAATCTAAATCTTAGATTTTCCCCAAATAATTTTTATTTTTGATAATTTATTATAAACATTTATATATTAAACACACACAAAAATGAATAGGAAAACAATTGATACAAAGAAATAATTTCAAAATATCTGATTGGTTAACATAATGTGGCCAGGCAAGTTTTAAAAATAAAAAAAAATGTGGCCAATCACATTAAAGGAGATCATTCATTGTGTAACCGCAACTATTGATGAAAGTTAATCTAACGGACACAAATGCAAAGAGATTAAGAACCAGATTACGCTTCTTTTTCTTCTCTATCTCCTCCTTCCTCTCTTCCCTCCACCGTGAAAAATCTGGTCTTTCAATCAATCTCTTCTTTCTTCTCTTCTTTCTCTCATTATGCAGTTTTTTAATCTAATTTCTCTGCCCTCGTTTTTTTTTCCAGATCGAATTGCTTCTCCCTGCCATGAAGTTCACCTCGTCTCAAGCTCCAGAAGCTTACCACCTCGCCTCTGCTGGACTCGAATCTCCTTGCTTTATTTCGACTCTCCTTTCTTAAGTTTCTTCTTTCTTTGACTTCAATGGATGGGGGGATGGTGAAGCCTCAGAAGCTGCGTCGGAGGAGGCACGGAAGCTGTAGTGGAGGAGACCATGAGGCCAGAAGCAGAGACGATTACATCTCCGGTCAAGGCTGGAGGAGGCCAGGCGCATGACTGTTGGAGGAGGCGCACATGGAAGATCCGGATACCCGAACGCCCAGGCCTAGCTGCAGTTTTCCTTTTTTTTTAGGTTTAGTTTTTTTTGTGGTTAGAGTTTTTTTGGTTTAGTGTAAACCGAATTGGAAATTGTGGTGGTTAACTTTATTTTTCTGTGTCTAGTTTTGTAAATCAAAATTTATTTATAAAACATTTTAATTTATAAATAAATTTATTTTCTTTTTAATTATAAAACAATTTTTAATTTAATTTTAATTATTTTAATTTAATTATTTTAATTTAATTTTTTTTGTTTTATTGTAAAATGATCTATCATAACACAAAATATGAATCATTATTTAAGTTGATAATAACATTTAAATATTGCTATCATATCTCCACTTTTCGCAGCATTTACAAATATGCTATCGTAGAAGAGGTGCTTACAATGGCTGCCGATTACATAGCGTTTGTGAGTTTGCTATGAAATCCCTACTATAACATATATCATGTGCTAAGAATATACATATTTCTTGTAGTTATAGATCCAAAATTAGTTAATCTAAACATGCGACAGCTGATAGATTATATATAAGTTTGAGTTCGAAAATAACTAGTAGTTAAGAACCCTTTGTCATTATCATAAGGATATTAATCATACCTGAGAATTTACCTAAATCTAGCTACCTTTCTAATCGTTACAACCTCAATCCGATTCAACCGAACAGCTACCTTGTTCACCCTTTTATTTACTGTTAAAACCTATTCATCTAGCTTTATTCCGAAGACTATAAATCCATTGTGTAATCCTAAAGTCTCTGTGAATTCGATCCATAAGCACTACAACTAAACTTTTTATTTGAGAGAGTAAAATATTCCTTAATATATATAACAAAAATGAAAATATTATAATTATCATAATTTACTTATAACAGTTTCTTGAATCAAGATTGTATAGAAAACTAGAAACAATTATTCATATTCGTTATTCTTTCAATTAATATTCATAAACTTCCAAATTAATGACCATCATGTAAAACTTTCAAGCAAAATCAGCGATTGTAAAATTCTTCCAGTTTTACTTTTTAATTAAAAGATCGGATATCTACAGCGTTTCCTCGCATTTTCAGGAGCTTTCGCTTTTACCACCCACACCACGACCTCTAAAAGAATTACCCTAGATGAGATTGGAGTGTTAAGAATAGGACACTTCAGTGAAAAGAGAGTGAGGAAGAAAGAGACTTAGGTATCTAAAATCTAAACCTGAAAAATGGGCGGGATGTTAAAATAATTGAACATTTTTCAGTGGGAAAGTTTGGACCCAAATTATGCGACTAAAGTGCAACCACCTAAGAGCATCCCCATTGGGGGATTGTATGGGAGGTTCACACTTTTTTCGAGGCAAAAAGTGGTGAAGCCGCGTCGCGTGAGCTCACCGTGGTGAACATGGATTGTCACTGGTTCGCCACGTGGCGGCCACGATTCGCCGATTTTTTTTTTTTTTGAAAAAGTCAAATGAAAAAAATAAAATAAAATAAAAAGTAACCTAGGATTTCGTGCCCAGCCAGAATCGCTGATGGACATGCTCCAAGGACACGGTTGCAAATTAGTGACACATTAAAAACGAAAGCTAATAAAGTTTAACACTGATTTGCAACTAAATCATGTTTTATAGTTACAAATTAATGGCGAACAATACCCTAAAGTCCTAAACCCAATAAACTTTTATTTGCTTTTAAAAATTTGTATATAAAATAAGATATTTTATTATATATTAAATAAATATAAGTTATAAAATCATTAATGTGAAACAAACTTATTAAGAAATAAATTCAACTTAAATCCAAATCATGACAAAGGATGTATTACAAATGGATAACATATGTTTTATGAATATTTCAGTTCGTCCAGGTTTATCAATTTCAAATTTATACAAGATATCATTTTTGGGTTGCTAGCAAAATATTTTTGGAAATAATGTATTTAGATAGCTAATTAAACACATATGATTGCAGTGGCAAAACAGTGACAAAGGTTATTACAGTTTGGGACTAATTTGCAACTTAATTATGTTCAACTGTCCCAAGTTAGTAGCTAATGGTACTCTAAACACTAAATATCATTTCTTTCCTTTTCAAAAAATATAAGTTATATGTTTAGTTAATAAGATATGGTTGTATATTAAAGAAGTATAACTTAAAAATCATAAAATAAATTATTACATGATAATATAAAGGGGTATTATAGGTTTGGTAAGATGTGAGTATGTAGACAATTTATCAGTGACTCAAATTTACACAAGTACTTATACTCATTATTTGGGTATCTTCTACTGTTCACTAATAATAAATAGTATAATTGTTTTGAAGTAATGTATTCTGGATAATTTTTTTTTTTTTTTGAACACCATTCTGGATAATTATTGAAAACATGATTATAGGGGAAAAGTAATGAGAAAATTTGTTGCTACTTCAGTACTTTGTGACCGATTACCTTGTGGAGTTCCAAAATAATTAAACTTATTAATATGTAGCAGACATTACAACTCATCTTCTATTACCGTTGAACATGAGAACTGATTGTTTTTGATGAATCGTTAATTTATACATACCATTTGAACTATTTTTCTCGAATAAGTTTTTGTAAGAACCAAATAAAAACTTATCACAAATATGTTACTGCTGTGTGTTTGTAGTAGCAAAATAGTTACAAGCACAATACACCTACTAATCTCGTGTGGAATATAAAGTCTTTAAACCACTAATTTAGCCACTAAAATACAACTTTTTTATTAGTCACAAAAAGTTACAATAATATAGTCACTATTTTTACACAATTCAAGTTATATTGACGATCACTTTGTAACTACTTATTTGCAACAATAGTTTTAGTTACAAATGCGTAGTTATTTTTATCAGTATTTTGCTATTACACTATTTAGTTGCAATTGAGTCACAGAACAGTCAAGAATAAGCAACCAAACTAGCACCACAATATTTGATCACCAAACTACGACTAGTTTACGACTCACTTTGAATAGTCGCTTAATAGTTGCAATTTCATTTGAATTTAGTCACAAACGTTTGCAACTACTGACTGTAGTTTCAATTGTAGTTACTAAATTTATATTTTCTTGTAGTGTTAAAAAAAAGTATCAAAAAAATTTAGACAAACTATCTGAACTCGAACCAAACCCGAAGAGAACCAAAATTTACAAATATCTAAATGAAGCTGAAATTTTCAACCCCAAAAATCCAAATCGAATAGATCCAAACCAAAATGATAGGATACCCGAACACTCACCCCTAAAATCAAACATTAAATTAATATAAATAACAAGACTCACTCAACAAAAAATATTTTAGAAACATATTTATACAAATGTATTTGCTTGAGATTTGGATTTTTTGTCAGCTCTATTTAATTTGAACTTTTTGAAAACATATATAATAATTTATTATGCTGGTTTTTGAATTAATAAAACATAAACTAATAAGTATTCATAAAAAAATTACCCAGTGTATAAATATTTATGAATAACCAGCAGCAGATGTGAAAAATAATTGATACTTGGAATGGGTCTCAAAGCGCCAACACTTTCACTCAGAAATAAAACAGGCCAACACATACCTGACAACAACAATTCACATGGTTTCTCGAGGAACCTTTTTAATTCAACTTTTCATGGACGCAAACAAGCGAAGAAAGCAAATACCAAACAAGGGGAAATATACGAAACTAGAAATCGAGTAACTGAATACTGAATGCAGTGGACTGGTACATTAGTATGATTCATAACTTATGATAAGAACCAGACCCCTCAAGGCTCAAGCTTAAACTTCGTATAGGTTTACGTCGTCAGACATTATTTCACTCAGTATAGCTCCTCCTATTACTCGTCCGAAGGCCGCCCCTAGTCCTAGGGCTGCAACACTCCCTCCTTGTGGCTTCACTTGTGGCCGTACTCCTTGCCCTTGCGCCGTTGATTGTGTTGGTCGTTGTGGTAGTGGTTGCTGCGGTTGAGGCTGCTGCTGAATCTGAGGTTGTGGTTGCGTCTGCAGCTTTTGCGGTTGTGGTTGTGACTGTGAATATTGTTGGTATTCATGTGGCTGATGTGAGGGAGGCATATAAATTGGTATTTGGCCGTTACTTGGCCCAACATTTACCCCTGGATGAACAGCCATGTAACTCGAGGCTCCATGAACCGGGTTTTCTAACCCATAGGGATGATGTGGGATGGGTACATACATAATAAAAGGTTGGGGTGTTGTGCCTGGCGCAATCGGAATTGTAACTTGCTTTTTAAGAAACCTATACGTAAAGCTTAGGGTTCCTTCCCCGTATACACCTCCCACCTTTTGCGTGACCAACTTCATATTATTACTGTAAACGTCAGTAGATGGCGAAGGCGGATTAGAACCAATTAGTTCTTTAATCTGGACACTGACTTTTCCAATATGTTTATCTCCTATCACTGGTCGGTGGCTCATCAACTCCACGACGAGGCTAAAACGGTCTTCTCGAGCTAACTTTTCCTCGCCCAGGGAAAACTTAACGGCGTGATTCCAAGTTGGAAATTTAAAGCCGGAATAGGCGATAGGGGTTTTGGTCTTATGCTTTGTTGTTTTGCCCTCACAGATCATAACGGAAGCATATACGTCCATGTCATCGAACACGTTGACGTTTCTGATGTTGTTGGCGGATTTGATCACGAGCTCTATAGCTAGCTCTGTCACGGTCGTGGTTTGACTCTGACACTGAGGTGTATATATGACGGGCAGGCCCAATCTTGCTGGATCTGGGTTTGTGTGACCGGGTTGAACAAAAGGTGGCAAATAAACCGGTTCTGGCGGTGTAGGATAAAGATCGTGAACCGGGGCAGGTTTGAAACGGTACGAGAGGCTTAGTTTTCCATTTGGTTTTGTTTCTCCGATGAATTTGACAGGATAAGTCACCGGCTTCATTTTGCTGACGTCACCATTAGAAAACGAGGGAACAGGATTTGAAGCAAGAAGCTCTTGAACCGGAACGTTGACTTCTCCTAAAGAAACGTCATTCTCATCTTCGAGCCAATAGCTATACAACTCCACCTTAATATTCAGTAAGCCTTCGTTGGCTTCTCTCTCGTCGAAGGAGAATTTGACGGTGTGATTCCACGTCGGATTTGAACCACCGTCGTAGTCAATGGGTGTTTTGGCTGATTGTTTCTTTTGAGTAGCGCTGCCGTTAATGGAAATGACAGCGTACACGTCAATCTTGTCTGTGGCATCGATATGCTCGACATTAGCTGATGTGATTTTGAGCTCAAGAGTTGGGTTTTCTGTGATGTTATCCAATCCTGAGGAAGACATGTTCAAGATAGTCCTTGCTTGCTTTGTCTTAGCAAATGTAAAGTAGCCAAATATATAGAAATGTTGTAAACAAACTCAATCAAACTAAAAGAAAAAAAAAAAAAAAAACTCATTAACTCAGTATCCATTTTAGGGTTTGTATATTGATTATTTGAATAAATATTTTACAACATTTTAATTAGTATTTGTACAGTTTTTTAAAAGGCTTCAGACTCCTGAGATGCTATTCCACACATAGGATGCGGTTAAGATGGTTTTCTTAATTTATAAAATACAACATATCATATGTGTTATTGATTATTTGAATAAATATTTTACAACATTTTAATTAGTATTTGTACAATTTTTTAAAAGGCTTCAGACTCCTGAGATGCTATTCCACACATAGGATGCGGTTAAGATGGTTTTCGTAATTTATAAAATACGTTGACTCAAGAAATGACATCCATATTAGAAGATATATGCAGTTAACAACATATCTAAAAATTAATTTGTATTCTATTATGTTATTTGCACTAACGTATCTAAAAATTAATTTGTATTCTATTCAATATACTATATAATCAAATAATATTAATGTCCACTAAATTTAATATTTTATTTTAAATGAAAATATAGTAAATTATATGTTAATATGATAATTTAGCTATTATGTTAAATATAAAATTATATATGCTTCTAAATATTTTATTTTAATATTTTTCATAAATAAAATGAAATATGTTGTAAACTGTATAAATATATGTTATCATGCATATGTAATTACTTTAATTATAATTTATAAAATATTTTTAATTAAATTATGTTATATCTATTTCGTTATTGTAATAATTTAATTATGTATGAATTATGTATATATAAACATTATAGAAGATCAGAGTTGTCTGCAAGTAATTTGTTGCTGATTCTAAAAATGACTTAAATATTGTATATGCAGTTAACAACATATCTAAAAATTAATTTGTATTCTATTATGTTAAATTCTTACTCCAACTTCAAACCTCTATATTACTTTTTAGCAAATTTTATGCTTATTATTTTAGATAATATATAGTTGTATATATAAAAGTTTAAGATATGTTAATTTGTATACATGTATTATATAGTGTATATTACCCCGTTTAGCCAACATATTATTATTTTAACGTAAATATTTGTATGTATGAAAATAAAATATATTAATACATCAATTTAGTATAATTTTACCATATTTAATTTAATTTAATAACTAATTTAATATGATTTTTGATTTTATAAATGATAACTGAATATATATTATGTAAAGTAATAGTTTCATTATTAATTACGAAATTAATGAAAATATTTACATTAGAAATTGTAAAAATTGAGATACTGTAAAAATCTTTTTCACAATTTTTTTATAATTTTTAAAAATTTAAAGATATCAAAAGATATCTAATCAATCAAAACAAAGTCCTGTTTTTTTATCTACCTATAAATAGTCTAAGTTGGTCCATTTAGTTTATGTAATTTTTAATATTTTTTTATAACAAACTTAGTTACTATTAAATATACATTATCTTAATATTTTATTTAAATATTTTCAAAATAAAATATCAAAAGATATTACCAAATATCTTTTCTACTATTGCATTTTGACAAAATCATTTAATATATGTTTATTTAAAATATAGATATTTATTTTTTTACTAAGTATTTTAGTAGTATAAATTCATAATTATTTTAAATTTTATTACAAATAAATATTAATTAATTTTAAGTTGTAAAATAAAAAATACATTTCTATAATGTTTATATATACATAATTCATACATAATTAAATTATTACAATAACGAAATAGATATAACATAATTTAATTAAAAATATTTTATAAATTATAATTAAAGTAATTACATATGCATGATAACATATATTTATACAGTTTACAACATATTTTATTTTATTTATGAAAAATATTAAAATAAAATATTTAGAAGCATAAATAATTTTATATTTAACATAATAGCTAAATTATCATATTAACATATAATTTACTATATTTTCATTTAAAATCAAATATTAAATTTAGTGTACATTAATATTATTTGATTATATAGCATATTGAATTAATATATTATGATTTACAGTTTCAGGTTTTGCAGTTTATTTCATAAAAATAGAAATATTTATCAAGTATGAGACGGATTGAACGCCATATAATTAATTTATGTTATAATAAATATTTATTTAATGTAATAATAAAATAAACTTGACAAATATAAGATATAAAAAATAAAGTTACATTATAAATACGGGTCATGTTAGAACATAACATTCTGATTCTAATTTGTATCACATCCTAAACTTTATAAAGTAACCATATATCGTTTGGATTATATTAGTTTGGTTCAGATATATTCGGAATTAAATCTCAAATTTAAAAGCAAAACATAAAAAGTAAATACTTATTTATATATAATTGGAGATTTAAATATTTAATTTAAATTTAAATACTTATTTTAGATACTATTACAAAATAAATATAGAATTGAATATTTTAAGTACATATTTATGTTTCAAATATTTATACTTATGATCAACTTGGATATTCGGATCGGTTTTTATGTTTTCCGGATTTTTGGGTTTTTGGGTTATCCGTTTAAGTTTGGCTAATAACACTTTGGTGTGGATATGTTTTGTACCATCCTAAGAGACTCAATTTCTTATATTTTGGACTGAGTATAGATCGAAGTTAGTTTGGATTCAATTCAGACTTTAAATTACAAATTTTGTACTTAGACCTACTTTAAATATAGACAAATTACTATCATATAAAAACTTTTATCAAAAATTATTCTGTGCTTGAACATCGCATGTTAAAATCTAATCTTATCTATTAAAACAGAAGTCATGACTTAATTCATGTGTAATTAGTTTGGACCAAACTTTAGAAAATTATTTAAATTATATTATGTATAAACATATGAATTATTTGAATTATTTTAAAACAAAAAAACAAAGAGATATTACTATATTTTCTCTGAAATTATATCTGAATAAAACCTTTTCAAATCTTTTTATTTATAATATAAATATATATTTTATTTTCATTAACATAAACCTTTAAAATATTTTAATTAATTTCTTATTTATTTAAAATAAATGTATATTTCATTTTTTACGTTTCTTAAAAGAGAATTTAGTTAATTTTCTCATTATTTAAAAAATTAAACCTATATCATTTTAGGGGTTTTTGCCAAAGCTAACCCACAACTTGGTTTTAACCCCAATACTAGACCCCAACTTGAATCAAATGCAAATCTAACCTAAAAGGGCTATGAAATTACAATATAGTCCTCTGTGACCAAACAAAAAAACAGAAGACATTTTTACGAATATAACCCCAGTAAGTTGTCTGAGTCGGGCTGAGTTACTCTTCAGTCGTCTGGACAACTGAAATGTTAGTCGTCTGGACGACTGAAATGTTAGTCGTCTGGACGATTGAATCTTAAAAATAATTTATAAATTCTGTAAAAAATATTTTCATGAGTGAAAAATTAAAAACATGTAATTATAAACATTTATAAGTGATATAAATTAAGAAATGATAAAATTGATTTGTTTTCAGCATAGATNAAAAAATTAATTTGACCTCTATGTGTTTATTTCTGTGTATAGTAAACATTTTTCAAGTTTAATTTAATGTTTCGAAGTGTTTAATTAGAGAATAAAATTTAGGGGTTATGTTTAGGGATTAGACGACTGAAATTTCAGTCGTCTGCTTTAAATTATTTCCCAGACGACTGAAATTTCAGTCGTCTGCTTTAAATTATTTTCCAGACGACTGAAAGTTCAGTCGTCTAATTGTACCGAACCGTTAATTTTAACATTTTACGTTTTAACCTAACCGGATTTTTACCGGACATATAAAAGCTATTTTTTTTCACTTTTTCACAATTTTCCGAAACCCTAGCGCCGTTTCTCTCCAAGGACGATTGTAAAGGCGATTTCGACGAATCTCTCCGATTTCGACGAATCTCTCCGATTTCGACGAATCTCTCCGTTTTCGCCGGTAATCTCTCCGATTTCGACGAATCTTGTTTTTCTTTCATGGCTTAGAGTATTTTCGTAGTTTAAACTGACCATCCCCTTTCTTTTTTTTCAGATCTGAAATCTCGTAGCCCTTTCCTTCGCCGCCGGTATGTTATATCTTATGTTTTAAGGCGTTTAGCCGCCGGAAAACCCTAAAAATTCTAGTCTTGACTCTTCTTTTCCCTTCGTTATGCAGATCTGTAACCGCTAGGGACAACTCTTCTTTTCACATCTTCTCCGTCTAAATCTTCTCCGACTGTAAGTCCTCATAGTAGTCTTCTCACTTCCTGGAAGCCTTCTACGAAGTCTTACTCTCTGGACGACTTACATGTAAGTCGTCCAGAGAGTAAGACTCTGTAGAAGACTTCCAGGAAGTCGTCATAGTAGTCTTCTCACTTCCTGGAAGCCTTCTACGAAGGCTTACTCTCTGGACGACTTACATGTAAGTCGTCCAGAGAGTAAGAC